CACGGTATGATCCTAAAGATACTGCTAACAAATACCTCGGAAGATGTGGCGAAACCTCCACTCATTACCATGGAGGTCCTTTGCAGTCAACTCTTGTGCAGGAGGCTGCTGTAAAAAGTCCTGCGGAGCAACACAGCCAAATAAGGATAAAAGAATCAGGATATTTTCTGTCTAAATCCAAAAAGAATGGCCATTTATTCTGTGAAATTGAATGCCAATTCAAACTTGTCCTAGCAAGCAAAATCTACCAGTGGAGGGAACACTTTTTCTGCTGCTCGACGAGGAACAGAGAATCCACCATGCGTACTGGTGTCACTTGCGGTTAATGTCTTACAGAAATAATTTGTTGGTTGTTTGCTTGGCATACCCAATTCAGCAGGTAGATAAGGATCCTTCTGCTCTAGCTGCAGACATCATGCAAAGGTATGCAATCAGAACATCCAAGTGTCAGCATAATAATAAGGCAATGAGTGAAAAGAGAAAGTTCATTACTAGGCTTAATGGCTGCAACGTCATCTGGGCATAAACTTCATCTGTCTCTACATCTGCCTATAGACAATGCACATTTATGAATAAGCAAATGATCACCATATTAGACAAGAAACAATGACAAATATCTAGATGAACTTACATGCATAGTAACATTATGCAGCTGACAAACCAGCTGAGGAGGTAAGCTTGGGTAGCTGGGGAGGGAATCAATTTCCTTGTTTGTTGATGCAGCCACCTGCACAGATAACCTTCATTAAAGCATGCCTCGAAGAATAAAATATGACATGTTCCAAGCACTATAAACTAAATTGCTCATCAAATAACTCTCAAGAAGTTGGATTCAGGGCAATAGAAGATTACTGTATTGCTTACTGCCTCGCAACAATTTAGAAATTAAGTAAAATAGCTGACCTGCTCACTATGGCCCTGTGGGAAATATACCACCCGGCTTCCAACAGGAGGCAATGAAACTAGTGGTCCAGCACAAGCATGCCATAACTCTGAATTTAGACAAACTTGTTCTTCTGTATCTAATGCCACATAATTAACAATTACCAGAATGAGAGCAAAGAAAGAAGTGGAAAATAATGCTGAGAGTCAACTTTGCAGCAAACAGAGTGACTAGAGAATAACTCCTTTGCCATTTGGAAGAGACATGCACACTACTGCTTACATCTATTTGTTTGGTTTCGTTCTTTTGCAAACATGATTCATAAGAAGACTAACACAAGATCTGTTAACTACAAGCTTACAAAATCCATTATTTATTGAACACATGAAGCATGTTACAAAAGAAGCCTAACATGAAAAGTTGAGGTTTAATAATCTAGAGAAAACTCATAAAATAGGCTTGCCTCCTTAACAGCTCACTATTGCAGAACTATTCTAGTAACATTTCTATGATTATATAAGCCAATAAATGAAGACGGAGAACAAAATCCAGTTCCAGCACCTAGAGTGTTTAGTCTATCACACAGGAAGGCTGAAGGCAAGCGTGATGTATGCCACTGTATAAATCCTCTCAACCACAGACCAATTTTTATACGTGCAAGGTAGTTTGGAGTCTTGCCTGAATTTACCTAAATAGATGGTTTAAGGAGTAAGCAGAATACAAATTTAATGTTCTAAAAGAAATTACTCTAATTTGGAATTTAGAAAAGCTTGGTCCCACAAATGTTCTACAGAGTGATAAATTAATAAATTGTGAAACTCCACATGTTTGACAACATATCCATATGGAGCCGAAATAATAATCACCAAAGAACAATTGAACCAGGTCATATTCTATGCATGTTGCATTGAATTTTATAATAAATTCAAGATCAATGAAGCATTCGATTTGTGGCTTTTAGCCTGACAACAGAAATTAGAAATGCTGCAGATTCATGTTACACCTTCCAAGATGCCCAAGATCAAGCCTCATATGACTGTAGTAGTAGCTCGTGCAAGCCAGCAAACAAGGAGCACAGTTTCAAGCATTTGGCAGGACATAAAAAGGAAAAGTTGGACAGCAGGAACTCAATTTGTGATTGATGCACAATTTAAGGCCAAAAAACTGATGCAGAACACCACGATGGGAACGTGAAGCAAACAGAACCAACCACAGATGAGTCATCAGAGACAACGATTTAACTATACAAAAGTACATGAAGTTTCCGACAATAATATACCTTCCAAAACAGAAAATTCTTAGCCAAACAGAAAAACAAAAAAAAGGACAAAGACCTCACCTTCTTGTTGCTGATTGCCCGGACCTGAGGATGAGAGCCTCATCTTATGTACTTACTAGAAGAAGCTTGCAGAATCCGAAAACCACAAGACAGTCAAGCCTAGGACTGAAAGTAGCACCTTCTCTTCAGAACATAAACAAGAAATTCGAGTTAAGATGCTTTCGCAACAAAAAATTGGTCTTTCTCTTTCAGACAACACAAAAATAAAAAATCTACTTTCCTTATATTTCGTTTCTGCATAACACGCTCCCTTGTTATTATTATTATCAAACCGGCCAAAACCTTAATCCATTAATTCATGTAGAATCCGTGTAATATGGAAAATACGTGCAAAAAAAATTATAAAACCCAAAGAGACATTAGATATAATTCACCCAAAGCCAACTCTACTGCAGAAAATGTTCTCCTCCAGCGTAATCAGTTCCGTTATTTAACTCTGTTGTAACTTTAATATGAGAGATAACTTTAAACTTTAAGAAAAAGAACCTGAGCCGCAAGCAAGGTCAAACTCTCAAAACATAGATGTTGATATGCCTCAGCTTATCATAATTCCAAGCAAAAAACCTTTCGTTATTGTTCAACTAACAACAACAGTTGTAAGACGAAAAAAATGAAGCCGACGCGCCACAAATCAGATAAAAGAGAAAAATTCCAGCAGCCACCTCAACCCAACCGACCAATCTGAAATCCTACCAACGAAGAAATCGATCCCGCAAAAGCTCAAAAATCTTACTCAAACTCGAGCTTCAATTCGAAGGAAATCTCCCAGAACCTCAAAAACCAGCTGAAATCCGTAAAAATCTCGCTAGAACCCAAGAATTGGAGAAGGAATCCCCAAAGAGGAAGAAGGAAGTAGGAAGTAGGAAGTCCCCCAACATCTCACCCCAGGAACTCCCTTCCCAAGCCAAACCAGCACCAAAAAGCAGCTCCTTTTCTTCAACAAACGCCGATCCCCCCTCCGATCTCCGCCTCGACCCGCAAGAGCCAGCTCGGTTCCCGAAAAACTCGAACGCAGAGCTCCCCAGAAGAACCTAGAGCGAGTTCCAACCCTTCAGGAGTTTCATCTTGAACCCTAGGTAGCTCAGCTCCCCGCCGCGGCGGACCAGCGCCGGGCTCCGGGATCTCAGGCGCGGTCCGTGCATTTAAGGTGGAGAGCCAGCATCACGCGGCGACGCCTCCGGCAATCCAAGGCAGAGAGCCCCCTGCTTTCTTTCTCTCTCTCTCTCTCTCTCTCTCTCTCTCTCACTTCGATCGAGTGCTCCGATAAGAACGTTTGAGGCGCTTCGTTTCAAGCTTCAATAATAACACAAACAGTAAGCGCGAGATGCAGAGAGAGTACGCTTCTTCTTCTTTTTTTCTCCTCTTTTTATCTTTTTCGCTTTTGTTTACTTTTTTATTTTATTTTATTTGAAGCTTACTTACTATTATTATTCACAGCATTCTGTACTAATTTTATCTTTTTCTATTTAAAATAAATAAATAAATATGATTTTTATTATTATTTTCTCACGATCTTTTATTTCGTCCTTCGTGACGTGTCATCTTATATCTCCGTCACCGTTCCCTCCCATATTATCCCTCCGAGTAGAAAGAAAAAATAATTTCTTTTTACATAATAAAATTTTATTTATTATTTATAATATCAGTATTATCAATATTATCCTCTGAGGAAGAAGAAGAAGAAAGGAGAAAAAATATTTATTTATTTACGTTCATTTCTAAATAAATAATTTTAAATTATTAAAAAAAAATTACTTTTATATTTTTTTTTAAAAATCACTGTTTATTTTTTATTGGATGGCATCCCATATTCAATTTTAGTATTTTTTTTTTCTATTTGGTTAAAAATATTCATAGTCTTTTACTAAAATGATTTGATCATATATATTATTTTATTTTAAAAAATAAAATAAGTGATATCAATTATTTTAAAATTATTAAAAAATGATTTCAAGATGTTTAATACTATTTTCTATATTTAAAATTTTATAATAATTAATCATAAAAATTAAGTATATTTTTAATTATATATATATATATATATATATATTCAAATCATTCAAGTAAAAAATACGAGAGTATTTTAGTCAAGTGAAAAGAAAATCCAAGTAAAAATGAATATAGAAAGCGACGGTAAAAAATTAATATAAAAAATTTTCGATAAAATACCTAAATAATATATTTCGCATGATTTGGTTTGAACACAACCATCTAACATCCTTCAAATATAATTAATTATTATGTTCATGCTAAAATTATCTTCTTAGAGAAACACTCTCCTTGAAATATTAGTGATGTATTTGAACTTCCAACTGTAACAAGTTGTCATGGTCTTTTTCACAACTGTTCATACAAAAAAAAATCCAAATAGTGTTTCTGCATGTGCACACATAAGATTCACATACATACATACATGTTCTCAATTTATATTGATGTGACACTCATTGTACCATATGGCCTTTCATTGGCCGGCAATGCAGGGTTTATGATTGGTCGTCGTTCCCTCGCATCGAATGCCATATTATTGAGATCAGTAGGGCTCGTTGTGGCCTATCTCTCTCGATCTCGTGGAGTTGCAAAGCCCGTTGGTAATTAAGTATCTTTGTGGATATGTTAATTGAAATTGTGCATAGATTCATCTTAATGATTGAAATTAATGATGCATAATGGATTTTGTGGCTATCGTATAGCCACTACGAGGAACAATTTTGTGTGTATGTTCATCATCTCCTGTAAACCTAATGGTGTGTGGGAAAAGAACAGCCATCAGATATGCAATTATTTGCATTGAATATTGGGAAGATGGCCACAAATAAGATGGAATCTGCACATTGATTTCTCTTTGATAGCCAGACAACAACAGATTTGATCATGTTGGACGATACACCTCCAACGTTTCTATAGATTTGGTGAAATCCAAGACACAAAATCTAGTCTCGGTCCACAAAATCTTAGCTCGAGTGAGATACAGCAGCTTAATCGCCCGCCCGTCTCAGGAAGAAGAAATCCATCACCACCCTACAACACTCACCTGATACGTACGTACCCTCATCCCACTGCACTGCGCCTTCTCCTTCCTCGTCCTTGCACCGCCTGAGCCACCCGTGGGACTCGGATAGAGTTCATGTGGTCCTCCTTGTCACAGGCTGGTGATGAGAGCGAGATCGATCCCACCACATGCACATTGTGCATGCATGCAACACAGAGATCTTCTCAGGTGACCCGTCGATCGCCTTGTCGTTGTGCTACTTAGCTGCAGTCATGTCAGTGTTTGGTCGATAGCCATTGGAATTACCATCCCCTCTCCAATCGTAACATGGATCTGTGGCCATTTTCTAGCCAACAACTAGGAATTCCCCCACACCACTGGAATCAAATAGTGCTTGCTCGTACCTGTTTTCAGGGTCCCCTCATTAAATAAATAGGCATCCTTTCCTCGATCAATGGAATGCCACATCCTCTTATTTTAGTGCATGAGAATGTGGATGCAAAAAAATCAACTTGCTATGTTACCTTATATGAAGTTTGCTGAGTGGAGCACCGAGAGATGTGTGTATGCACAGCCAGTTGACTGCAGTTCTCGAGATGCAACTCTTCCTAGGAATCAGCAACCAGAAGCCTGTGGCATGGATTAGATGAGGAAGTGGAAGATGAGAGAAGCAAAGATTGATGAAAGTTCCAAAGAAGATATCAAAATTCATTAATTATAGCAGTCACATAGTCGAATGATTCAAAACTGAAAAAATGTACTACTTACATGAAGATTCAACCACACAATGGTTCTGTCAGTACAAAGCAAATTTTCTTCCTCACCAGTGAAGATGAGCAAACTTTTGTAAACTCATCAGTTCAAGAGCAAATGATCAAGTGTTCTTGTGAACCAACTGCCAAATGATGACAAAATTCTGATCAACCTAAACGTATGCCACTTGTGAGAATCAGCTGTTCACACAGGGTGAAGAGTTAGGATGCTAACAAAGCATTTAAAATAGTATACTATCTCCCATTAGTTCTTCCCAAGGAAGAAAGAAATGGGACCTTCCAGGCTTTGAATTGTTATTTACTAAACAAACTTTTTAAGAGAACATTAGCATCTTTGCCATTTACAAGTTGAGCCTTTAATATAGAAGTGACTGATAGGACCACATCTTTTAACACTTCAATGGTCCCCCTAATACTAGGAGGAGCCACTGCACTCTCCTACGGAGGATTAGGAGAGGGTTCTTCCAGAAAGCTGGTCTTGTGGATTGGGATGCCAGTGAATTTATGGAATGAGATAAGAAATTAATGTAAAAGGATTGTCCTGAAGATGCATATGGACTACAAATGGGCAAAGGCAACATCTTAAAAGTAGCAATTAATAAATGGAAGATGTGCAAGAATGTAAAGGGCTACAAGGGGGGTGGGGACTCCAAATGAAATAAACTATAAACATCAAGGTGGGCATGGTATTATCAAATATCAGCTAAAACAAACATGCTTTCAAGTGTTGTAGGATACATCTGTGTGCATACAGTTCATTAACTGTCATATAGTATAGGTTCAATCGAAGGAAGCCAAGAAGCAAGTCCATTAACAACTGGTATGAGTCCCTGTTACACCATTAGCAATGTAAAGCTGGTGGCAGCTGCACTATCTGTGGCATCAGTGCATCATTTTGCAGATTTGGTTATGTTGCCTAGCTTGTGTAGACTAAAGAGATAGAACATTATATTTTGCATGAGCAATGAGAATTTCCACATCTTTTAGTTGTGCCATCACATCAGACAGTCAACTGTAGATCTAGGAAGCGCAGCAATGTGTTCTACCTACTCATGAATGAGCAAATGACATGCCAGATATTGGATGGAAATGCCAGAACGCAATAAGTTTAGCATGACAGATTTATAAAATTGTTTTGAACTCCTGATGCATTAAAAGTTTAAAAACTTGAATGATGAGGTCAGTTTACAATATACAAATCTTTCAGTAGGTAAAGATGTTAATATCCTAGACCCGTGGCCTCTCTTCTTGGCTACTTCATTAAGTGAAGATTTATGGTTCGATTGGAATCATTAAAAAAACTTGGCTTATCTTGAATCCTATCAAGAGGGTCAGATATGCAAAGTAAAAAAGATATAGAAAACTTAATTTAAGATAAGCAAGTTTTGTTTTTTCACCAAATAATGTCACTTTGACTTCAGAAATTTACCAAATCATGTGCCTACATCTGATGCATTCTTCATCAAAGATTTTGGTAAGACATCGAAATCTTCCAGTTTCCTTATTGATCATCCTATAAATATTTGAGCTCATGGTAAACTCTCATATGGTTGCTGAAGTCTGAAACATTTCATACTTCAAGACTCCAGTCCTCTTCTAATGGCTCAACTCAAGACCTAGTTGATTGGAGGGAATAAGCACAAATTTGGACAATCAATTAGTAAATCTCAATGAAATCCCTGCAAAGGCCCTACCAGGTCCTTGCATAAAAGATAATGGGTGTGGTAAGTGTGGGCATGCATGTGGCGTAAGCAAAGCATGATATGACCATTCATATTGGAGACCTAGAGAATAGGAACTTCTGTAAAAAACATTCTATTAATTTTGAGACCAGTGACATCAATATTTCACCGTGGTTCCTTTTGGATTCTTTAGTACTCTAATGAGCAAAATAAATGCAGGAGAAAAGAATCCCCAGCTAACTAGTGAACAGCCACCATACCCTGACTTATATGAACTGCTTTCTTATCTTATGAACCTAATCTGGTAACTCCTTGTATCTAGGGAGATCACTTCACTACAAATTAGGTTTAGCAGCTGACCAAACAGAAATGTTTGGTGCATGTTGACTTGCGGCTCTTAAAATTCAGGTGCTGTTTGAGCTGGATATGTAAGAGCAGCACTAACAACAGTGGCAATCACACTATTAGCACTTATGATTTGCCATCAAGATATGGTGACTTTATGCTGATAATGAAGAAATGGGTACATCATTAATTTTTTATACTTGAACCAAGCTATTCCACTTATATTACCAGACAAACCAAACCTACAAAATTATCTGATGTACACTAAAAAATCAGAAGATGACGGGACCATTATTTGTGCTATGAGTAATTAGTACTGTGATGATAGAAACTGATACCTGGACCACTATGCCAGAATTTTGACCCCATTGATCAACTAAGATTAGGGTTCCAAGACTGAACAACCACTTGAATTAGAATATGGTTGATTTGACCTGATTCACTAAATTCTGCTCCATGCAACTTCTGACAATGCAATCAGGATGGTTAGACTAGCCTGCATTGTCAAAGAGCAGAATTAGTCATTGTTGCTATATTGTGATATACTGTGACATTGTGACTGATCAGCTATCACAATGTCCAGAGGACAAAGCAGATTAAAAAATCACATGATAAACTCATTCTGTTGCTGTGGATGTCATTATACATATATTGTAGTGAGATATATCTAATCCGATGTGAAATTAATGCTTAATAGATTAACTGAAAAGGTGGACATTATAGTGACTGCAAAATATTGATGGGACACAACCTAAAGGCACCTGCTACAACATGTGGAGCCCATGATTAAGGTAACCATGCAAGGACAATAATTATTAGATGACTAAAGCTTAGGCCACAAGGACACTGATCATAATTAAAAAACAAATAAGTGTCCTTCCAAACCTTTTATGGAAAATGATGCTGCCAAAGCAATCTCATCCTAAGTTTGACTCTCCTTTTCATGAGGGAACAAGCAATGCTTTAGCCTTTTCTTCCCTGATCATATAGGAGGAAACAACGAGTCCCCCATAATCCACAGAGAAACTTGTTATGAACAATACCCAATTTTTTTGCCCCTTTCCATGTTGTTGTGCTTTTAGGTAGCTTTACATGAGCAAGGATCCTACTGATTGATTAAACAGAACAAGGAGCTTGAGAAATGTATAAATGTAGACACTTGGAAGTCTATAAATGCTTAGTATGTTGCTTTGTCTTCTTTTGTAGAGATTTGAAGTCATTTTCATGGAGGAAATTAAACAAGAAACAGATGTCATCAATAACTGTTTCTAATACAAAATTAACTGCTTCAAATCATACATATAATTATTGGATGTTGCTTTGTCTATCAATCATTCATTTCAGTAAACTAACCCCAAATTAGCTTAAAACTGAATTGAAGTTCAGAGGAAGAATAGAAATTGAATACCTTCATCTGATGAATTGAAGAGTGCAACTAATTTTCCTAGTAACATCAGTGTTCAATTGTTTTAAAACCTTAGTGGAGCTTCTGGCTAAAGAATGTAGTCCAGTGATGTGATGGCCGAGAGGAAAAGATGGCCCCTGAAGTGTTTGGGACAATGACTTCCATTGGCATTGTCTATAATCAAAATGTTTTGGGCTGCTTTTCTAGCAAGCATTACCTGGAGTGTACCCGGTCCAAGTGCAGTGGAGATTAATTGAACTGATACAAGAGGAGCCCAACCAATAATTTTAAACACCAACTGTTGCAGGACAGGCCAAAGCTTGACCCTAAGAGGATTTAACTGTGTCTAATTTCAGAACAGATCATCCCAAATGAGGGACTAAGGAATACAGTTTCACCTCATTCTGATAATTCTACTGATTTAAGACATCCTAATTCACACTCTTAAGACTCCTGAAACATTTCATTTCACCCCAGGTTTCTTGGTCCGTAGCCATGGATAATTGCATGCAGCACACTCACATCATGCAAGTGTCTGTTTTGCTCCTGCTCAAGTTCCTTTAAAGCATAACTCATAAACGACAGCAGCTGGTGTGGAATAATGTTACACAGTGTTTCTTTAGTTGATACTATAATCCACATATTTTTAGAGACCAAAAGCCTTGTGTGATTGAACGGTTTCAGAAGTGTTGTTAGAGGTTAAAGTCTTTTTTCTCAGTGCACATTAAAACCCTAGATAGTCATATGAAGTTTGACCCAACAAATCAAAATAAAGACAAATTAAATGAAATTTAGTCAGCTGGATATGATTTTTGATCAACCTCACAGCATCTTATGTTCTTTAGCATCGATCGAGTGCGTATGAACAAATTAGGCCAGTGTGCATCAATGGATGGACTATACTTGTGCCTGAGTCATATGCAATCCCGATGTTTGGCCTGAACTAATTTCCTCTCTAAGCTTCAAAAATGTACTTTCTTAGGTATGTCAGCATCCATCCTTAGATTTAAGTTGGTCCCAAAAGAAAACATACCAAGATGATGTCTTGCAGGGGTATTCACTATTTAGTCTAGTTCATCGACCATTACAGGGCAAGATGAAGATAACTAACTACTATGCAGTATGCCCTGCTCATGTAAGGAATAATGTTTTGGTCCATGTTGTCAATGTAACGTAAAGACTTCTTGGTTCAGCTGGCCAGTAAAACTCTTGCTAGACTCGAATGAAAAAAATTTACCATGACCACCAAATATCCATCTGTGGAACAAGGCAATACATGAAGCATTATGCAGGATAAAGATTTCTCCAATTACCGAAACACTTACATGAACAACGGGTCGAATGTTATTGATAATTTTCAAATTTATTATTAAAAAGTTTATCTTTCATTGTGCAGAAACAATGGCAGATTAATCTATGAGGAGTCTGTCCCTGTTGCATTCTTATTTTAACATAGAATACTAAATCATCACCAAATTTACAAGTGCCACAAAAGCATTGTGCATACAGCATTTCTACGCTGCCTTTTCAAGATCTTCTATCCTAGAAATCCTAGGATTTCAGAATCTTCAATCATCTAAGAGACAGCATTTCTAGGATTGCAGTTCTTCAAAACTAAACCCTATTTTCTGACTAATTAAATGCTGGAAAATGCATATGGTAAGACTACCATACCTGGTCGGCCATCTTGTCCATCTCCATGGATACAGCGGAGAAAGCACGCTGTGCGCCTTGGATCCTCGCGTTCTTCCGCATCTCGACATATCTCCTCTCCAAGCTCGACGGGTCCTCGGCCCGGTTCTTGAAGCTGCAAACTTCAACGAACTCGCCGTACCATCTTTCCTTCCCTTTGTAAAGCAGTCTCTGGTCGGCCGGCTGCAGCCCCTTCTCCGCCGTCAGAAGCTTCTTCAACTCCCCTGCGAACCAAATTGTTGATACGAGCTAATCACCCCGACGGAGTTGGCCGGGTGGAAACTTACCGAAGGCGGCGAGGGAGCAGCCGAAGACCTCGAACCTGGTGGCGCCGCAGGGGATCTCCGGCAGAGGCGATCAGCGATCTGGCTGCTAGCTCTTGACCATAATTCATCAGGGCTTCATCGCCCAGACCCCACCCACATCTTACCGACCGCGACTCGCTTGGCCACAGCCGCGACATCTCCGATGCGGGCCTCCTCCGCCTTCCACACCCCTCCTTTCTTTCTCGGCGGCCGAGAGTTCCCGGAAGACTCCTTTCAGACCGAGCAAAAGTCTTTTGAAAGCGCGGGATCGGAAGCGAAAAGTTTTAGAAATATTATTTGTTTGGATTACAATAATAAAACTAAAATTTATAAAAATAAGAAATTTATATAAAACTATTAAACATTTGATAAATTATGATTATATATATATATATATATATATATATATATATATATATATTGTAAAAACACTATAAACTCAGTGTTTTTATGCTAAGTAACAATGTTCTCAACAATACCAAGAAAATACTATAACATGATATAAAATATTATAATATAATAGAAAAATATTATAATTAGATGGATTCATCCTATAGTTTGATATGTAGAAAATTGGATAGATATAGATGGCTAAAGTATTTCATGTATTAGATTAAAAATGTATTGTTGGCAAATTCTAAAAAATGGGAACACTTTGAATTGAGGGATTTTTTTCGTGTATATATATATATATATATATATATATATATA